GGGGGGTGTAAGGGGACCACTCTGTCAGGGTTTCATAGAACAGTGGGGAGAAGGAGGCCATTCTATCAAGGTTCATTAGTACAGGGTGATATTGTGAAGGTGTATAAGGAGTAGCGGTGTTACAGTGTGTAAGGCTGTGTGGGTGGAAGGAGGAGGGAGAGAGGGAGATTTCACATCAACGTATTAAATCAAAATGACTCAAAATTCTTGTGTAATGTGATGTGAAATTCATCAAATTATAAACTTAACAGAAAACATACCTGGTATGTATAGCGATAGTGAAGTCCTGTGATTCATATAATATGGGCAAAACTGACTCAATGAGAGTCTATTGTGGATTGTTTTGAATTTCAATTGTAATTCATGGTTCAAAAATTTTGATTATATGTTTCAGTAATGAACCATGTCATTGAAGGTGGGCTAATGTGTTACAACATGCACATCTATTAATAAATACCTGTATAAATGTATAGGTACCCTATCAAGTGGTTTATAATTAGATCACAGTGGCAACATGATTGGAATCAATGCGTAGACAACAAATTACACTATTAAACCTGAAATTGGTGAATTACATATCCTAGCTAAAGAGAGAGGTGCAGAGAAGAGGTTGTCCTTGCCCGTCTTTGGATGGGTCATTCATACAATACCCATTGTTACTTATTGAACTGCGAAGACCAGCCTCACTGCATAGTATGCCAAGAACCATTTACAATAAAACACTTGTTATTAGATTTCGATGACCTTCAGCCAAGAAATATTAATTAGGAAGAGTTTGAGTGTTTTTAAAAGAAATGTTTTATTCAAAGAGTGCGGATGATTTTATAGATTTTAAACAATTGTTTTTTTTGTGGTGACAGTTGCCGTCGTTGGAGTTGAAGCCATGCCAATCAGAGAAGTACCTCCCCTGGCCCCTGCCACACCCAAAGTCTGGGGCTCACCAGCGAAAATCTTCCGAGGCTGTAGCAATGGAAAAATTCAGGTATGTGACACAAACTGTCAAATAAATCAGGAATGTTTTGGAAAATATTTAAATATTCACTGAACTGTATAACACTCATATTTTAGGTAAATCATAACTTGTAAATCATAATTAACTTAATCATAATTTCTCAATATTATTTTTCTCCTCACAGAAATCTAATTTATAGGTAAAATGTCTTTCTTTCAGTCACAAATATCAGTCGGAGAGGAATTTTTACAAGCACACACAACATAAATGGTTTTCCTCCCTATTTTCGGCCCTCGTCAAGCAGAGATTATGTTGTCCGTAAGTATATTTTACATTGTCAGGTAAAATATAGGTATAGTGTATGGGTGGACATAGATTGTGAAATATTCTTGTGCTGTACCTGTTCTACATGAAACCATTTCTTCTTTGCTTTGAGAAATGACCATTATGGCATCATTCATCACCAAAAAAAGAAGCAACAAATATCAAAAATCATTAATTTTCATAACTAAACAACATGTTACACTATATCTTACTACATGTATATCACTATACTGTATCAGGACATTTTATGTTGATCGCCTGAGTACCACCTATGTATTCAGGTGTCTACCCTGAATATATGTTGTATTATTATACAATTACTTTCTGCTGTAAAGAAAACGCGTCAAAACACTTCTCAAAATTATAAATCTCTAGAAAATTATTTTCTTGGAATTTTTTTATTTGACCACTCTGCTTCCTTTCTCTTTACTTTTTTTCTCTCTTTACTTTTGTCAATTACCCTGTGAATCTTTCGGTATCTATGCCAGACATGAATGCTAGACTTAAGGATCCCTGTACCACTGCCAAAAATTGTAATTTAAGTATTGGAAATTACTTAATTCTGCATGACTATTACTTTAATAAATCATTTCTGAAAAGAAAACCATACCTTGCAGGACTTGGAGAAATAATAAAGATGAAATAAACGAAATTTAATCAGCAACAATGTTCGGAGAATAAAACGTTAGCAGGACTTGACCAGGATTGGAATCCTAGAATTCAGGATGACATGTATACCATTGCTCTTACTGATTGAGTTACCTTGTCAACAGAAGTGTCCTGACCCTAGTGTGATACAAACAGAAGTTAAGGGGAGCTTACTCAATACAGGAAAAAACACAGTATAGTGGGGCAGGGATCGTTAATGAACTATTCCAACTTTTGAATTGGAAGAGTTCAAATGTGTCTAGCAGGGGTGAATAAGTCAAACATTTTGAAAATGCATAAATGATATAATGATGGTATTTTTCTTTTACAGAACATGGATAGGGCATGCTCCCCCAGAAAACATACTGTTACTTGTTACATGTTTGAGAATACTGATGAGGGATTATGCTTACCATCAACAATTTTTCGATCTTGGAGGACTCAAAGTGCTTGCAGAAGTAAGAATTATACAAGTTATCTATGAGTTAGCCATTTTCTGGCTATCCTTATACGAAAAAGTTTTTTACTGTCCTTAGTTGCAGGCACATAAAAACTAAGCCTAAGACTATATATATACAGTCAGGTGAAAGGGTTAATTTCACCACTGTAAATCATAATGGACTTAACTAGATCAATGCATGGCAGAGTTTACTAAAGATGTATAGGGGTGAAAGGGTTAAATGTTGCATGAAATTTTGATTGCACAGATGGAAGTTTCTGTGTATTTATATCTTAAGTTTCCTATTTTACAAACTGAGAGCTCTGATTAATCAATGCACTAATTTATTAAAATTTGATAATAGACTAAAATTTGAGTCTACCAAAATCTATTAATATTTCTACACTATTTAATGAAATAAATTTTAATAAACGTGCACTTTATGTAAAAAAACATTACAATATAATTTGACCTTTGTTTGACCTTATGAATATGCTGTGTTGTAGCATTTCCGAAAAGCCGCAGACAGTTACCTGATGGATGACCGAAGTCCATATGTAGTGGACATTCTCAAGGAAATGACCAGTAAGTGGACAAGGCAAATAGGAACAATATTACAAAATTTGTCCAGATCCCTAATATTACATTACGTAAAATTATATATATCATGTACAGCATATTTGTAAATAAAATATTGTTTAAACCAACTAGTGGTTTGAGCCTGGGTAGTTTCTCCAAGTAGAGTACTGATAGTGGATTAGTGTCAAACCTTGCTTATCCTTTGCAGATATCTTCCAGAAGTTATCAACGGTGGAGTCACAAAGGGCGTGGCTTATAGAGTACGATGCACATGCAGTAAGTTAAACTTCATTTTCAAAGTTGACCAATGATATTATAAAATTAGTGGAAAAAGTTAAAACATTGAAGTGTATTTTCTTGTAAACTTGACAAGATTTTTTTTTAAATTAAATGGTGGCATTATACGTTTTACTGTACATGAGGACATTTTTCCGCAGAGTGCAACTTTTGCCTTTTTTGCCCTCTGTAATGCAGATAATTTTATCATAACAGGAAACATAAATACAATACTTACATATCTTTTATAAACTTTCTTTACCTGTACTTGTCTGTTTACACCTGTCTATTGTGTTGCAGGCGTTGGTGATGTTGTTACATGCTACAGACGTGGTTGTATTACACTGTTCACTACATGCCCTCTATGGCCTGGCTAAGAGGTATACTATGCTCCTTATTTACAATCGAAAAAGTACAAAGAAAGTTGAGAAACAATTATATCAACGTTGAATTACCTGTACAAGATATTATTTTTATGGATAACACAAGGAACTTATTTTTAAAATGTCTTTAATTCTACACTGTTCACCGACTGGATACCGATACTTGCCAACTCACCCTATTTTGGACCCTAAAATCAAGCATTTTAAACTGATGAATTTACTAAACTTTTCCTATTATCTAAGATCTGATGACTCATCTGAAAGAACACCTCAAAAGATGCTTTTTAATTTCGGAGCACACAGAATCTCCCCCATGGAAATTAAAAAACAGTTGGCATACTATAATGGGTACCCTGATTTTTCAATAATTTTATAATGTACAAAAATGCAGCTAAATAAAGTGTTTTTGTTTATTTTTTGCAGTGATGGCCCACGAAAAATGATCGGAGAGTCCAACTCAATAGAACAGTTACTGCTGATCATCCAGGAGTATGATAATGTAGCAAAGAGGTACGTACTAGGTGTGACCCTAAAATCTCAAATGGATGGGATTTCAAAGTCAGTTATTATTTTTTATAATTTTTTGTTGTATTTGCAGTGAAAAATAAGTGGTAAATATTTTGTGTTGCATTGCAACTTATCCCCAGAGATGTAAATTTAGAATATATCATGTTTTTTCTGTTTTTCAGGTTAGCGGCCCAGCTGTTGAAGTCACTGTGTCACGATTTTCAGAGTCGAGAGATGGTGAGGTCGTATGATGGGATACCTATTCTACTAAGTCAGCTACACTGTGACAATGTGCATCTCCTACTTCCTGTTGTCTGGTGTCTTGTCCAGCTGTGTGAGGACCCAACCGCCAGCAAGGAGATCAAACAAATGGGGGGCATTCCCCTGCTCTTATCTCTTCTGCAGTATGTATATATGCTTATACCTCTACCCTTCACTCAACATCATTAAAATGGGGAGAGGACATAATTCTTCCTCTTATCTATTCAGCAATACCTATAAACACATGTATACCTCAGCCCTTCACTCAACATCATTTAAAATGGGGGGGGGGGGGGGGGGGGGGGGGGGCATACCCCTCCCCTTATCTTGTCTGTTGTATGAATAAACGTGTATACCTCTATCCTTTACTCAACATCATTATAATTTGGGGGCATACCCCTCCTCTGATTTCTTCTGCAGTATGTATAATCATGTTTATCTTCACCCTTGGTTCAACATCATTAAAATAGGGGGCATAACCCTCCTGTTTTTGCTATTGCAATACCTGTATATACCCCTAGTCCTACAGCAACATATGTAAGATCATACCCCTCCTGTTTTTGCTATTGCAATACCTGTATATACCCCTAGCCCTACAGCAACATATGTAAGATCATACCCCTCCTGTTTTTGCTATTGCAATACCTGTATATACCCCTAGCCCTACAGCAACATATGTAAGATCATACCCCTCCTGTTTTTGCTATTGCAATACCTGTATATACCCCTAGCCCTACAGCAACATATGTAAGATCATACCCCTCCTGTTTTTGCTATTGCAATACCTGTATATACCCCTAGCCCTACAGCAACATATGTAAGATCATACCCCTCCTGTTTTTGCTATTGCAATACCTGTATATACCCCTAGCCCTACAGCAACATATGTAAGATCATACCCCTCCTGTTTTTGCTATTGCAATACCTGTATATACCCCTAGCCCTACAGCAACATATGTAAGATCATACCCCTCCTGTTTTTGCTATTGCAATACCTGTATATACCCCTAGCCCTACAGCAACATATGTAAGATCATACCCCTCCTGTTTTTGCTATTGCAATACCTGTATATACCCCTAGCCCTACAGCAACATATGTAAGATCATACCCCTCCTGTTTTTGCTATTGCAATACCTGTATATACCCCTAGCCCTACAGCAACATATGTAAGATCATACCCCTCCTGTTTTTGCTATTGCAATACCTGTATATACCCCTAGCCCTACAGCAACATATGTAAGATCATACCCCTCCTGTTTTTGCTATTGCAATACCTGTATATACCCCTAGCCCTACAGCAACATATGTAAGATCATACCCCTCCTGTTTTTGCTATTGCAATACCTGTATATACCCCTAGCCCTACAGCAACATATGTAAGATCATACCCCTCCTGTTTTTGCTATTGCAATACCTGTATATACCCCTAGCCCTACAGCAACATATGTAAGATCATACCCCTCCTGTTTTTGCTATTGCAATACCTGTATATACCCCTAGCCCTACAGCAACATATGTAAGATCATACCCCTCCTGTTTTTGCTATTGCAATACCTGTATATACCCCTAGCCCTACAGCAACATATGTAAGATCATACCCCTCCTGTTTTTGCTATTGCAATACCTGTATATACCCCTAGCCCTACAGCAACATATGTAAGATCATACCCCTCCTGTTTTTGCTATTGCAATACCTGTATATACCCCTAGCCCTACAGCAACATATGTAAGATCATACCCCTCCTGTTTTTGCTATTGCAATACCTGTATATACCCCTAGCCCTACAGCAACATATGTAAGATCATACCCCTCCTGTTTTTGCTATTGCAATACCTGTATATACCCCTAGCCCTACAGCAACATATGTAAGATCATACCCCTCCTGTTTTTGCTATTGCAATACCTGTATATACCCCTAGCCCTACAGCAACATATGTAAGATCATACCCCTCCTGTTTTTGCTATTGCAATACCTGTATATACCCCTAGCCCTACAGCAACATATGTAAGATCATACCCCTCCTGTTTTTGCTATTGCAATACCTGTATATACCCCTAGCCCTACAGCAACATATGTAAGATCATACCCCTCCTGTTTTTGCTATTGCAATACCTGTATATACCCCTAGCCCTACAGCAACATATGTAAGATCATACCCCTCCTGTTTTTGCTATTGCAATACCTGTATATACCCCTAGCCCTACAGCAACATATGTAAGATCATACCCCTCCTGTTTTTGCTATTGCAATACCTGTATATACCCCTAGCCCTACAGCAACATATGTAAGATCATACCCCTCCTGTTTTTGCTATTGCAATACCTGTATATACCCCTAGCCCTACAGCAACATATGTAAGATCATACCCCTCCTGTTTTTGCTATTGCAATACCTGTATATACCCCTAGCCCTACAGCAACATATGTAAGATCATACCCCTCCTGTTTTTGCTATTGCAATACCTGTATATACCCCTAGCCCTACAGCAACATATGTAAGATCATACCCCTCCTGTTTTTGCTATTGCAATACCTGTATATACCCCTAGCCCTACAGCAACATATGTAAGATCATACCCCTCCTGTTTTTGCTATTGCAATACCTGTATATACCCCTAGCCCTACAGCAACATATGTAAGATCATACCCCTCCTGTTTTTGCTATTGCAATACCTGTATATACCCCTAGCCCTACAGCAACATATGTAAGATCATACCCCTCCTGTTTTTGCTATTGCAATACCTGTATATACCCCTAGCCCTACAGCAACATATGTAAGATCATACCCCTCCTGTTTTTGCTATTGCAATACCTGTATATACCCCTAGCCCTACAGCAACATATGTAAGATCATACCCCTCCTGTTTTTGCTATTGCAATACCTGTATATACCCCTAGCCCTACAGCAACATATGTAAGATCATACCCCTCCTGTTTTTGCTATTGCAATACCTGTATATACCCCTAGCCCTACAGCAACATATGTAAGATCATACCCCTCCTGTTTTTGCTATTGCAATACCTGTATATACCCCTAGCCCTACAGCAACATATGTAAGATCATACCCCTCCTGTTTTTGCTATTGCAATACCTGTATATACCCCTAGCCCTACAGCAACATATGTAAGATCATACCCCTCCTGTTTTTGCTATTGCAATACCTGTATATACCCCTAGCCCTACAGCAACATATGTAAGATCATACCCCTCCTGTTTTTGCTATTGCAATACCTGTATATACCCCTAGCCCTACAGCAACATATGTAAGATCATACCCCTCCTGTTTTTGCTATTGCAATACCTGTATATACCCCTAGCCCTACAGCAACATATGTAAGATCATACCCCTCCTGTTTTTGCTATTGCAATACCTGTATATACCCCTAGCCCTACAGCAACATATGTAAGATCATACCCCTCCTGTTTTTGCTATTGCAATACCTGTATATACCCCTAGTCCTACAGCAACATATGTAAGATCATACCCCTCCTCTCATCTCTGTGGAAATTCAGCAGATAAAGAACATAGGAAAGAAACTAAGGGACAAGTGATTTTGTAAGGGTGATGACATTTGTTCTGGGGGGAAAAAAATGAATTATTATTTTTTAAATCTAAGTATTAAACATTTAATTTTACATATAAGTGTAAATAAATATATAAATTATTACAATTAAAAAATAGAACCACCATGAGAAAAAAGGGCAATGAGAATTGTCCAAGGTTACAACAAGAGTGTTTGATTATGTAAATGTGCTTGTCCGTTGCAGTGACCGGACATTTGTGACGGAACGGACAGAAACAAGTGAAGGAGCTGCCAGTGCTGGTCCACATGGCAGAACAGTAGATGATGTAAGTAGATCATGTGACGGTCATGTGACCATAGCTTTTAGAGTTATTGTTCTTGTGACTTTTTTCATTTCTTTCACACTTTTCTCCTTTTTTTTCAAATTCTTCTGAAATTGAGCATGTGCATTATTCTAGTAAATTAAGAGTGTCATTTTATTATACAAATTATGCAAATGTGTGTAAATGATGTTAATTATGCAAATTTATGTTAATTGTGTAAATTATGCAAATTTATCATCTAAAGTTGCCGAGTAGGCTAAAACACCAGCAATAGGCTGAAACAGATTTTCTGTATTTCTGTTTGAAATCACAGATATAGGATAAATTGTTAAAAAATTATAAACCATTACAGGTTAATGTTCTTATTGGTTACCAATTAGGCTGAGAACGAGATTCAATTTGGTTGAAAGATAATGTGATTACCGGTATGTGACTTATAATTACCTTTCTGAATAATTGTGTTCTCAGAGATAAATAAAGCACTGATAACTATTTGTGTCTGATACTGAAACAAAATCTCTCTGTAGGAAGAAGCTTTAGCACAACCTATGAATCATACCTTATCCAGATATTTATCTGTTTTGCAATCAAAGGTCTGATGGCATAGACTAACGAGAATGCTCGTTACGTATCCTGGTTAATCAATAGCCTTACATAGGCTGACCAAAAAATGCAAATCTGAAAGTTTGAAATACAAACTTCAAAGTTCATTTCAACAATGATCCATAGAGCTGTGGATCTAATTGTTTCTACAATGGAAAAATCAATTCTCCGATCAGCTATAATACAGAGGTTTTCTGTGAACACTATATGTCATAGCGATCCTCAGGTGCTGTTGTCGGGAGTAATTGGAGATAGCTAATATTGTTCAAAGTAACACCTGGTTAATTGCTTAACCATCCAGGTAAATGTGTAATAATTACAGGTAAAAAATGTTTTTAATTGCTTGAGTCCTAGATTTTCTGAACTGCATTGATAAAACAATAAAAAAAACCTCTAGGTTATAATGGAGTGAATACATGGATGATTAATGTGTTTTTCAGTCGGTTACATCAGCATACAAATCTGGGTCATAATTGATTTTCAATTTGTGGTTCAAGTGTTCTTTGCTCTGTTAACTAGTTCACTCCTGACATTTCATAATGAACTATTCCAACCTTTTAATTGGAAGAGTTCACATGTGTCTTCAGGGGTAAATTAGATGATGAACAATCACAACAAGCTAGCCTAATTCTGACTTTTGAGCTACCTGATAACGCACTTTCATATTTGGGGGATTTTATTGATTTAAAAAAAAAAAAAAAAGATAAATAAAGTAAAGTCTGAAGTATTAAATAATCTGAAGATGTGATCAATTCTGGAAAAAACATATCTGATGAAGGCGACAGGACCTGTATGCAATCTAGACTTTATTTATGGATTATTTCTATTCTCTTATCTGTGATTGTATTTGATTTCTCAGGCAATATGGGAAAATTTTCCCTCTGAGATGAAAGATTCAGCCTCCAAGGTGAGATGCTTGGGCATGTCCTTGTGTGACCCTTGACCCCATAGTCACATTTCATGGCTTGACCAATCATCTATCACCATCATATCACCAAATTTTCATGTTAATATGTTCCATTCATCTTTTATTGTCATTCTGCATATCAACCTATTCACCCCTAAAGTCACATTTGAATCATACCAAATCAAAGACTGGACAAGTCCATTTTGAAAATGTAGGGGTGAATGAAATAATTTGAATAGATGGGGCTTTATTTAAGTTAGTTAATATTGGTTAAAAACATGTGCCCTGTGCTTTTAAGCTACACATAATATATCATACAGTGGCGTATCACACATGTATGCTTGTATGCTGAAGCATACACTTAAATTTTCAAGAAAGATTTTTGCTTGTACACCATGTATGCTTGCCAGTATTTCTCCTTAAGAATCTACGAACCACTGCCAAAAACTGTAAATAAATGTTATTTATGACTTTATGACTTTAGCTTTGATAAATCATTTCTGAAAAGAAAACCATACCTTACGGGACTTTCATGAGAATTAGAAAAAGATAAAATAAACTAAATATAATCAACTAGTGTTTTGATTGTAAAAATAAATCAGCAGGGCTAGACCGGGGTTCAAACCCTGGACTTCAGATTGTTATACTACTTCTCTAACTGATTGAACTTCCTGGTGAACAGATGTGTTCTGGCCAAACTTTTTCTACAGTTTTTTCCAAAGGGAAGTTAAGGGTAAAAAGAAAAACCACGTTGCAGTGGGGGTGGGGATCCTTATTTGCAGCTATATATCAAAACTGTAGTTTTCTGGTAAAAATAGGAAACCAAGATATAAACTATATCTGAACATCCGTGTGATATTTTGTTTAACTCATTCACCCCTGAAGACACATTTGAACTCTTCTAATTTTAAAGGTTGGAATAGTTCATTATGAAATTTCAGGGGTGAATGAGTTTAAAAAAAATGGTAGTTTGAAATTCATCTTTTTATCAAAATGATCCTCTGTGTCATAATTGCATTGCTTCACGTATAATACATGCATTGTAATCTGGTCGGCCATTTGTGTTTTTGAATAACTGCATGTCGCTATCATACCTACTGTCACTGTTTGACGCTGGCACTGCTTCATAGAGACCTTAACCATATCTAAAATAGAATAACCCTGCAGATCTATTTTATTACATATTGTAACCAATACACCCCTAAAGTCACATTTGAACTTTACCAAATCAAAGACTGGGCAAGTCCAGTTTAAAATTGTAGGGGTGGATGAGTTGAATGAAGACTCTTATAAGGGTACCATTTTTCAAAGTTCTAGTCTAAAACTCTGACATAGAATTCCTTCTACATTGTGTATTCTCCCTATTCTTTTGTTTTCTCACTTTCTGAGTGACTTCTACTATAAATAGTATACTTATGTCTGAAATTATGTATGTATTTCCTTAAAAAACAATGTAACTACAATGTAAAAAAGGTCAGTTATCATTTGATATGCTTATAACTACACATTAGATGGTTGGTGGTACACTGCATAGCACACTCAGATTTCACCAAAAACGTATTGGTAGCCAGCCCAACTAGGTGGGTTTTCTCCGGGCACTTTGGTCACATTAAGACCCTTTGTGTGCTTTCATCCAAACCAAGAACAGTGATTAATGTAAATCGATAGATTGTTTCATAATTTTTTGTAAAATAAATAAAGTTTATATTACTAGACATTATCAAATGAAGATGAAAATCGCATATAAAACTAAGGTAATACATGTGTAGAGGATCTCAAATCTCCGCCTTGTGTCAGTGAGTGTTTGTAGACATACAATCTAACAGCCTCGCCATCAAACCTAATGACTTGTGATTGATGATCATGTGTAAATGCTGCTTCAGACACGATCTGTAATGTTTAGCCTTTCATCTAGTGGTCCGCAATGTGGACACAACCAATATATTGATCTCATGGTGATTGATTTCTCATTAAGTTCTCATGTGTTGGTTTGTTTACGTTAAGGATGATGAGAAATTCATTATAATGATGATTTAGAATTATAGGCATGACAAATTGTTTATGAATTAATTATTGGGAATATGTATTGATATCTCAAAATTCATAAACTTCCATGTTTACAAATCAGATACTGTAACGCCAGAAGTTTCAGTGGGGATTATATTTTCGCAATTTCAAATAATCAATAACGTAATCGCAAAATTTAGTTTCTTCACATGTCTAGATCACAAATTATAATTCGGGTAAATTTCATTTTCGAGTTTTGTGTCAAAATCACGAAAATTTAAGCCTGCATAAATTACACATACGGTATAATAAAAGGATATTTCAAACTGTTCACCCTCTTTCCTTACGTCCAATATTGAACTTGCCCACCTGTTCTAAAACTGTACTACAATTATTTGCCTCGTGTTAAATCATCCTATTATTCAAGGGCAAAAAGTGTAGATAATGGATTGGTAGCAAACTTTTTTATTACCTACATGCAATACTATCGTATAATTATTTCAACCTTGAAACATCTTCATTATTCAGGTAGAAGAACTCATGGAACAACAGTATTCTTTAAAAACAGGTATGTCAAGTTGTCCCATATCTTATAGTTTTAATATTAATATTTTTTTCAATCAACTGATAATTATTTGATTTGAAATTAAAGAGAAAAAACAAACTTTTTTTAAATGATTTATTTACATAAAGTTGGAGATAAAAAGTTGAAAATGTGGTACTGATATCAAAATAACGAAGATATTGATTGTCAGATGGTCTTTTAAGAATTCCTGTTTGTCTTCTAGCCTGCTGTGCGGCGCTGACAGAACTAGTCATGAATGATGCCAATGCCTATGAGATAGCCCAGGCCAATGGCATCTACTCCCTCGGTCTGCTCATCCTACCCCCACCCAAAGATTGTGGGGAAAAGGAGCGAAAGGGCATCGTCAGTCTTCAGGTAAATATACCCTAAAATCTGGATAATAAGCCTGGTTTGAAAATAATCCTGGAACTCCTTACGGTCAAATGTATCTCAAAAGTAAGCCTACTTTAATACTATAATAGGCAGGCCTTAAAATTCCCATCTTACCTGATGGCGGACCTTTTATAATCAACAATTATTCTGTGTTAAAAATAACTGAAAATTTTGATAGGTATATGAAATAAGTGCAATTATAAAGCAGTAAATTATTTTGAATATTCTTAGCAATATGCAAACCATTACTCAGACCATTTAAAAGGGCTTCAAAAATAAGCAGCACATTTCTTACAGTCTGATTAAATGGCTTCAAAAATAAGACAGCCTTGGCAAAAGGCCGATTTGGACAATAACCCTGGGATTTCTTACCAAAAACGAAAAGATTTAAGGGTTGTATGTGTAATGGTAATACAAGCATGTACTTTATTTTGATGTTTCCTTCTGTTTGGGAAGGGTAATAAGCCCATTTCCATTTCTTCAATTGTGTCAGCATCAGTGAAGAGAATGTTTTGGCAATGTACATTGCAATGCATAGTTATTATGAAAAGCATTAACTGTTGATTGCAGAGTATCAAGTTTGTGGTTTGTGTTACAGAGAAGTGCCTACCGGACACTGAGGTTCTTGTTCAGTATGGAAAGGAACAGGAAGCTATTTAAGATGCTCTTCCCACCCCACATGTTTGAGAAGTTTATCAGTATTGGTCATTACAACCGCGATCTGAAGGCCTATATCCCCCTGGTGGAAGCCATCAACAGTCTCCCTGTAAGTTTGTAGATTTTATGCACTGTATAAACTTTAGGTATTTTACAACAATAATGAAAGAAGTTTTCTTACTTATATATGTAATATATGTTATATATATATATATATATATAATGCAAATCTAACGAGGGGCATTATATCGAGGTTTTGCTGTATTTATAGTGAAAACAATACTCATTCACCCCTAAAGACACAATTGAACTCTTCCAATTCAAAGATTGGAATAGTTCATTATGAAATTTCAGGGTTGAATGAGTTAATGTTGCTATGACAATCGTTCAGTCTATGCATATTCTTCTAATCAAATCTTCCCTTACATTTAAGTATTCTTCAGAATGTCAAGCCGTCATGTATTTGTACCTTTACTTTTACAGGGTGCTAAAGTTGAGGAGATAAAGAATAATATTAAGGAGACTAATCACAACAAGACTGCGAGTCGGTCTATTGGAGAGTACGATGTGTTTGATCTGCTGGGCAAGGGCGCCTTTGGCTCGGTGTACAAGGTCAAGAAGAGGACTGCTGGTCAGTCCTTCCTGGCCCTGAAGGAGGTAGGTCACTGGTTAATAGCATCAGGCAATAGTTCTCTTGTCAATGGGTCAAAATCTAAGTGGTCAGTTGGTCATAGCGCTGGTCAATAGTATTGGGTAAAAGTGCTCTGGCCAGTGGGTCAAAATTGAAGTGGTCAGTTGGTCATAGCTCTCTGGCCAATATCATTGGGCAGTAGTTCTTCATTCAGTCCAGGGTTATATAATTTAGACAAGTCTTATTTACAATATGGCCCTTCAAGCATATTTACAGATATGACTACGTAAAATAATTGAATTATATTTTTTTCAAAAAACGCATTGCACAGTAATACGTATCACAGATAGAAGTTGCCTAACATGGCTCAAAATCATAGCTAAAAAGGAGCTAAATCTATGTTTTAGTAAAATACTGATGAAGATATTGACCTGAAAATACACTTAACACATGGTATTTCTAACATTGCCATCTAGTTCATTAAATAAAACAGAACGTGTATCTGTAAAAGACCTCTTGCTTTTGGAAGAACTTTCGGAAGCACTACTTGGTACATTACATTTCGTTAATGAAACTCTTATTGCGTATTAGGAATTTGTTTCCAGTTGATGCCCTTGTATTTCTGATACTGCTGCTTTTCATGTTATGTTATATGTACATGTGTTATGTTTAAGAGAAATGTACATATATGTATGTGTGTGTGTTATGTTTAAGATAAATGTATATATATATATATATATATATGTGTGTGTTATGTTTAAGATAAATGTATATATATATATAAATGTATATATATATATATATGTGTGTGTGTTATGTTTAAGATAAATGTATATATATATATATATATGTGTGTTATGTTTAAGATAAATGTATATATATATATATGTGTGTGTTATGTTTAAGATAAATGTATATATATATATATATATGTGTGTGTTATGTTTAAGATAAGTGTATATATATATATATGTGTGTGTTATGTTTAAGATAAATGTATATATATATATATGTGTGTGTGTTATGTTTCAGGTAAACATAGACAACCCTGCCTTTGGTAACAACATCACGGATCAGAAACAGAGCGTGGGCGAGCTGATGAATGAGATCTCAATCATTAGGGAACAGATGAAGCACCCCAACGTTGTCAGATACCACAAAACATTCGTGGAACGTAAGTCGAATACCACAAAACATTCGTGGAACGTAAATCGAACACCACAAAACATTTGTGGAACGTAAGTCGAATACCACAAAACATTTGTGGAATGCAAGTCAGACACCACAAAACATTCTTGGAACGTAAGTCGAACACCACAAAACATTCGTGGAACGGAAGTCAGATATAACAATGTAAATCAAATAGCCCAGGATATTGAATTAAATTTCTGTTAGCAGATTTAATTTTTATTCTTTTTTTAAGATCAAAATGCTGATATTTTAGTATTTCTACTCGCAATATGTTACAAAGTGCTGAGCTGTTTGAACTTTGGTGTTACAGATGAGAGGTTATACATAGTCATGGAGCTAATTGAGGGAGCACCTCTAGCCGAACACATCAACTCTCTCAAGGAAAAACGTGAGAATTTCCCTGAAGAACGTATCTGGAACATTTTCATGCAGGTTTGTAACAATTTAATAAAACTTTTTTTGTAATCTTTATTTCTGTCTTAAACACGAAAATATATTTCACAATTCAAAGTTAACAGGACCTGTATTTTGTTTGTAACAAGTATTTACAATTCTTCTTAAAATTAGACGGAATTACTTTTCAAAAAGTATTACCGAGAAAAATTGAACCGTGTCTCTAAGAATACATAATGAGTGTCCTTTATAGACAGGTGTATTTTAGATACTGTTGTGTGTATGATGTTTAAGTATAGTTATACTGTTGCGTGGTGTTACAGATGGTGTTAGCTCTGCGGTACCTCCACAAGGAGAAATTATACTGTTGTATGTATGATGTTTAGGTATAGTTATACTGTTGCGTGGCGTTACAGATGGTGTTAGCTCTGCGGTACCTCCACAAGGAGAAAGGCATTCTACACAGAGACCTGACACCCAACAACATCATGCTGGGCGACAGTGATGACAAAGTCACCATCAGTAAGTGTCTATTCTGTAGAACATTAATAGCATTAATTGGTGCACCTTGTATAGAACATTCACATGGTGACCCTTAAAGTTTCTATAGAGGATTAGTAAGATTGAAGGAGGTCTCGTTATATCACAATTACCAGAACTTATAGAAGATCTAATCAGGTTGTTTTGTTAGCAACATCCTGGCTTCATATGTCGACACCTCTGTTGTTATTCATCTGATGCCCTTTGAAGCATTTTGATAAATGGTTCTGTTAATTTGTTAGAGGTCCAAAACAACAAACTTTTGAAGGTGTATTTGATTACTTTCGGAATCTGGACAGTTTTAGAGCCCCCCCCTGTCTCTTTCTCTCTTTCTTTCTCTCTCTCTCATTCTCTAATTTCTCTTGATTAGTGTATTTGTACGAGGATGTGTGTGTATGATAATGTGATTTTTGTGTCATACGTATGTGTGTTTTCATATGAACGGTGGATGTTTGTGGAAATTGATGTCGATGTATAATTGCCATATTATGTAATTATGTGTTACATGTGATACATGTGATGAGAACAACTCGTAGCCAATGGCTGTTTGTAATCCTCGTAAAACAAGTAAAGAATTATAGGTAACCAGGTCCTGCTTTCTATCCACTAACAAAAATGTTGGAGTGTCTGGGCGCTGGATAACGAGGGGAGCCTGGTGTCCCTCTTTTACATACATACGTTCACGTTGCCACTGTTGGGAAGTCTGGGGCACTGCTTCAGACGGGGATTTAGAGGCACTGCTTCAGACGGGGATTTAGAGGCACTGCTTCAGACGGGGATCTAGAGTCTGTATGTTGTTTATACGTTATTCTGTATTTTGTAGCGGACTTTGGACTAGCCAAGCAGAAGAGGACAGACTGCAGTAAGATGACCTCGGTAGTGGGCACGATCCTGTACTGGTGGTAAGTCAGAATGTCATCTATCTGTTGTGGTTAACTTATTCACCCTTAAAATTTCATAATGAACTATTCCAACCTTTGAATTTAAAGATTTCAAATGTGTCTTCAGGGGTGAATGAGTTAAGCCTTTGAAAAACAATGTAGTTATACTTAATTTTTTATCAAAACAAATACCTATATTTGAGATTTTCAAAATTCAATTTTGTTCATCTCTTTCAAATTTTATGGTCATACTATGAAATCATAAATTTTCGTGGTTTTTTTAATTCGTTGATTTTGTGGAAAATCTTCATCCATGAATCCAAAGGACCACGAAGTAATGAAAAGTTTGATATAAAGCAATTCTGCATTGAATTGATGTACCTCACATGGTGTACCTCACATGGGTAAAATATGTTCTCACTTGTGTTACAGTCCCGAGATTGTTCAGAATGAGCCATATGGGGAGAAGGCAGATGTGTGGGCCCTCGGTTGTATCCTGTATCAGATGTGCACTCTCAAGCCTCCGTTCTTTAGCGACAATATGCTCAGGCTTGTCACCAAGGTAAGACACCGACCATTTGATATATTTCATCTGGATGTTTTGGTCAAATATTAACATATTGCAAAGTTTTTATTTAATATATAAAACAAACTAAATGCAGCATGTTTTTAAACATTTTCTTCATATTTGTAAGTATGGATTGTGAAAAGAGTCATGTAGCACAACCAATAAGTGTTTATATGTAATATTTCGATGACTAGTACGGTATGTACTCTGTCACCTTCATCAGACAAATGACAAGTGAAGTGTAGGTACACAATGGTATATATTTTGCTCTTTTTTGTACATAAGCTTCATTGGTGATTTGTCTGATGAATGTGACAGTGTACATTCTGTACTTGTCATTGAAACATCTCATAGAAACTCCTATTGGTTGTGCTACATGAATCTTTTCACAATAAATGTAGCATGTTTGCAGTCATTTCAGAATAGGTAACAGAGATTTAATGGAGTATTTTTGCAATCATTATCTCACTCTCTTTGTAGATCGTGGGTGCTAACTATGACCTAATACCAGAGGGGCAGTACTCAGACAGACTCATCAAAATGATCAGCAGGTAGGCTATCAGTGACGCACACCCTTAATAAAGTAAAAATCAAATCACATACTAGGCCTGAAAGTATTTATTATGATGTTAAGATTCAAATCTTGATGCTGACACTATTTGTCTGAGTTTTACCTTGGTTATTTGTGGTTTTCTCGTAGCTCGTAAATTCTACAATTGAGGCTGAAACTTGTAAACTATAAGTATACAGTAGTTAAATATCAACCTATAAATAGAAGCTGAAGTTTGAATCCCCTGACGTGTTAGTTATGCCATCCTTTCTTTCTGTAGCTGTATTTGTCAGTCCTCCGAGAAGAGACCAGACATTGTGGAGCTAGCAGGAATGATGGCGGACAAACTTCTTGTCCACATGGACAGTCTGCGCACAAACCAGATCTCAATGGAGAAGAAGCTTGAGAAGGAGCGTTTAAAGGCCCAAAGGTAAGGTCAGAGGTCACATAGGCTTAATAGAGGTCACAGTCTACAAGCTTATAGAGGTCACAAAATGATAGAGTTGATACTCTAAAAAGTTTGCATTTACACTTGAAGTCCCCCTATAAGCATTACCAAAAGAAATTGTGTTCATAGGGCTATGAACACAACTTAATCGGCATCATTTTGATGCTTCTCCTCTCACATTCAATAACATGAGACAACAGTTAAAAGCAAACATTTTGGTCATGCCAGTCTGTTCCAGAAAATTCATTTGCACTCACAATACAAATACAGTATCGCAAATATAGGTGAGAGTTAGTGAAGGTTACAAAGTCCACAGAAAAAACAGAAGCTTAGAGCCGTTGTAGATTTTATTTATGGATCAAAATTATGATTGAAAGAATTGGAAAGTTATAATATTATGAATTTACATGATACATATTTTGCATTTATAGACATTACTTTGAGGCCAACGAGAACATGCAGAACTACCACCGTCTGTTCCTGGTGTCCAAGGAGAGGTATGACCGCCTCGCCAACCTGGCAGGGAGTGGAGGTGCTGCAGGACTCAAAAATGGGGAGGTGCTTGATCCATCACTAGTGGACATTGATTTCAGCTCGCCTGCTGGCTCCATGTGTGTGCCGACCTCTATAGATATGGACGTTGACCGGGGCACAGGTCAGTATATCTATATAAAATAGTGTTGATTTTTTACCATGCACACAACGTAGATGCTAGTACTTGTATAGCATTCTAACCTAGGATTAAAAAAAAAATACTCAAAAATGATTTTCTTACAATAATGTTGACTTGAAATTTGCTTAATTAAAATTAAAATTTGCCAAATTTCAATTCTTATGCTGTTGTTGGTTTTGTTAGTACCTTTTTGTTGCAATGATTCAAGCTTGTGCAAGCAGAAGATGCTTATTAAAACTGGTTGATAAGTTTCCTGATCGCATTTGTAAAAATTGTAACATTTGTTTATCATCATGTTTGGAAACAGATTATTTCACACATCCCATAGTTTTGTTGCTCAATATGCTGTAACAAAGCCTGTCTGTTTCACTATTTGACACTATATATGTAGAGGATCCCGTCTCTGCTAAAACACCACAAAATTTAGTTCCTTCACGTCTAGATTGTCAAATTATAATCAAAATAAATTTAATTTGTTATTTTCTCAGGCAAAATTGCAAATATTTAAGCCTGTGTAAGTTATCCATTATACGGTAGGCTAACCGTCTGATGGTTTATTGGGGCTAAACAAATCCTCAATGTGAAAACAAAATCCAGATTTTGAAAATGTGATGAAAATATATAAGAATAAGGGACAATTTCCAATGAATTAATAATTTAACTGTTGACTTGTTTTAAATAGGTTGGACGAGTGATGATGAGAGTTACCCCAGCAGCGGTAGCGAGAGTCGAGAGAGCAGTGCTGGCAGTACCCGGTCTCAGAGCCGTGCTAACCTGCGCAAGGCCTTGCCAAAACCTCCCACCACACCCAAACAGGCACGGAGAGACCGACCATCTCGCAGTTCCACTACCACCTACAGTCCACTAGTTCTCGACATCCCCAACACACGTAAGCATCACAGGTTTGATTCAATGTATCAGAAATATCTAGGATGTGTCATTTTACCAGTACTTTAAAAACGGGTGATGGTATTTAATATGGATATTAAAGTTATGGTAAGTATCACATTATGGGATTTGGTTTAACATTAAAAAACCTCAAATTCAAAGTAAAATTGAATGTTGATACATTTTGTTTATAGTCATTGAAATTGAACCATATAACTTACCTTAATACAGTTTTAAGCATGATCCAAATCTTCTGTTGTAGCAAAGACGAGTCGTGACTCCGGGTTCAGTTCTGGCGACCCGTCCCCTAACAATAGTAATGTACACCATAGTGTTGGGCCTCTTGATCCAATCACCAACGGCCCCTTACAGGCCCTCAGCTGTCGCAAGTTCTCCCGCTCAAACAGTACACCTTCCTCATGCTCACCTGCACGCAAAAAGAAACACAGCAAGCGGCCAAGTAAGTCACTCATCTTAAAGCATGTGCTCACATCAGTGGAAGGGAGATAACTCTTATTGTTATTTTGACTAAAGACCTGCACATTTATTTTTAGTATCTTTATCAATATATTTATGGATTTTTGGATTTTTGTATAAATTTTGTTTATGTTGTGTTTTTGTTAACAGATAGTGCTAACACACCATAAAAAAACATTTATTTCTAGTATCTTTATTAATATATTTATGTATTTTTTTTTATTTTTTTGTTAACAGATAGTGCTAACACACCAACACTGACCATCTCCCAGCGTCGTGTACGCCAAATCAGTGATCCGATTCTTCAGATGTTACATCAGCTTCACAAAATCATCTACATATCTCAGGTATGGCCAATAATGTCACTAGATTTATGCTGTTGAAATGGAATATGACAAACATTTATAAAACTTGGCCTGTGAATCCTTTGATACCCTCTGGGATCATGGGAATATTTCTTGTTTTGGTTTTGAGACATTTATGACACAGTTATTTCTATTACAGCTGCCTCCGACATTGTGTCCTGATGCCAAGCGACGGAGGATAGAGAGATACAAAAGAGCCCTATTTGCCACACACAGTACTACCTTCAACCTTAAAAGTGAACTGAAAAAGGTACGGGAGTTAATTTTTCTTTTTACTTGATAGGGACATGTGTATATTTAGGACGAGATCTTTCATTACTGATGTTTTCAGTAAAACATAAACAAATTTATTAAATCTACAGTAGATAGAATTTGAGTGTCGAACCCATTGAGATGTTTTTCTGGACTTGTTTGTATACGCATTGATATAAAATCGCAAAGTAGTGCATCACATGCACATTATTTTTGTAGTAGAGGTACAATTATTCTCTTCTTCCACAGTTGATGTCGGGATCAAGGGAGATTATCGACTTTAATCTTGGGCCCTCGGATTCCAAGCGCACTGGGTCTGCAGGTTCCACCAAGTCTTTGGAGACTGAAACTGGCAATGGAAACATCACAGAAAGATTAAGTGAGACCATTTCTACTTTATAGGTGTAACAACAATATTGCTATTATTTTCAAAATGATGAAAAGATGTGGTATTTTATTATGGAGTATTTAAGGTTAGGTTTTTTATGTGTTTTTCAAGAAAACAGTAATATCTAATGATGGATTGAATCCATTATGTTACCACTAAATTGTATCAGATAAACTCGATTTCTTTTGTCAATAAAGTGTTCAATGTTCAAAAATTGGCATTACATGTGTATTTTTTGTTTCGAATTACAGCAAGCAATCAGTGGGAGGCTGACCCAAAGGATGGCGGAATAACATACGAACAGCTACAGAACATGATAGAGAGCACACTTCTCTCCTGTGGGTATTACAACATGTCACCAATCGCACACGAAAAACACTCACCACTCGGACCAATCAGTGTTGACCTTACAAACAGTCGTAAGTATGAAACGCCGAGGTAGCAGTGACTGTGGAGCTCTAAACCAATCGGAGCTGCTGTCACAAACAGTGGGAAGAGTCCATCACCGACACTTTAACCACATCAGAGCTGCCCACCAATGATGTAAGCCGTTACAAAAACTGTGAACCTATCAAAGTCAGTCTACCAGACAAGCAGGAAAAGTAGACAGTGAGAGCTACCAACCAAACAGTGCTAAGTTATTAAGTTAATAAACTGTCATTTGAAATACTGGAGCTGTTGGACTGTCGTTAAACTGAGACGTGTTCAGTAGTTTAGAGGTCCTTCTCAAACGAAGCTGTGCAGAAATCCAATCAAAACAGTGATTAAAAATGAGGTAGGAAGTCTGCAAGATTTTGAATTTGATCTATAGGAAAATAACTAGATTTTGATCCAGTGACTGTAAGGATCAAACAAGTGTTTAAGGGAAGGTGTACACACCTGTAAAGGATAATCATACTTACATGGATGTATCCATTGTCCCTTTATGGAACTTTGTTGATAATCAGGTGATGAAGTACTGTGTTAGGATCCTTAGGGAACGTGTTAGTGATCGTAACATGCAGAGTATGGATGTGACTTTGAAAACCCAGTGTATTTACCAAGTCTTTCCGTCCGTCCTATGTTACATTCCAGTTCTGCATCACAATTATTCTCATGGTTCATTCCGGTTTTGCTTCAAATTTATCAACGTTTTTTCATCTGTCATAAAATTGCAATCAGCCAATTTGATCATTGTGTTTTACTTAAAATTAAACACACAAAAGGATGCAATACATTTTTTTCTGCATACATTTCTTTTACTTTTTAATGTTTATATTATATGAACACAAAGAAGTTGTCATTTCCAAGCCATTTTGATTTGTTTTATTTGTATTCATCCCAAAATGTATAGGATAAGAGATATTTAGTTAATGTTGGTTTTCATTTGAGACACAGGACAGTCCAAAGCATGTTTCGGTAGTTATTTTGAAAGCCTCCAATATTTCTTTTTTTTTTCAATTTGAGGTTCCAAAAAGATTGTGTTCCTCAAATCAGGTTGTCGGCACTGTTTTCAATGTGCTGTGTCTCGTTATATAGATATAAATTATTAATATTCTATTCCGATTGATTGTTGCCAGTAAATGATTCGTTGTTGTTGATCCCTGCTGTGGTATATTCCCATTGTATTTTGTATTTGTTGTGTGATGTTTAAATTGTGATGACCCCAACTCATTCCATCTCACTTACTGGTATTATATTGTTATTAAGAGATAAACAAATCTTTATACATACAACATAACTTATGATTCCATACTTGTCTTTGAAGTGCTGTTTTGTACATATGAAATTTTATGTCAAGTTGACCAACTTGTAACCTAATGAGTTGTTAGTGCCGTCCATATTTATAAACTTTTTTGTCGATTGTAAATATTGAACTTGTTTAGTCCTGTAAATTATTAGTGTTGATGAATTCTGAATATCAGAATATGCTGATTCTTGTGTATATGATATTTATTTCAGGCAAATCTAATCTAATATATATATTTAATTGTTAATTGATATAAATCAATCTTAATTATTTATTAATTAAATTGTAATTCATGTTCCATTTAATGGGAAAATGATGTGAAGTTTAGCCTCATTTTAACACTACTGTCCTAAACCTGATGTTACCATATTATAGTCTTGGTTTAGCCTATGATTTATGATTACTTGAGGTTCTGTTTAGACAGGTTCTTATTAGACAGGTTCTGTTTAGACAGGTTGTGTTGTAAAACAGAGGTTTGTTTTCTGTAGGCATTATGAAATCAGTCTAATCAGTATTATTGCCAAAAATGTTTTGTCCGAACATCAATCTTTATAAATTATTATTTAAAATGTTATTCCCATATTTCTACCTAGCCTTGATGTGGACACAATTGCTTGGCATGGTGTTAAGTGAAATTTCGAAGAAAATTCATTGTTTAATCGCTAAAAGGTGGTTCAAGTAGAAAAGTAGGATACGCATAAGTGTGTTATTTAATTCAGTCTTAATATAAAAATGTGAGTCTACCGTCCTTTTGTTATCTACAAAATTAGATTCTGTTTTTAGAAACTTTGAACAATTCTTTAATTAGGGAAATAGAGTATAAAAATTAGTTTGAAAGAAAAAAGAACAAACGTTTATTTTATTTGTATATATTTGAACATGTTTACATGAAATCCAATTATTTACAATTATTTATTTCCAGTATCTACACTGTTTACTTTTTTACTGATTCAAATTACATTCCATTAAATTTGAATATACAACCTAATTTAGTCATCATAATAATAAAAAAGATGTCCATTTATGCATTTTCTGTGCAAATTAACAAACCTTTAACTTATACTAGTTATAGTCAACTATATGGACATGTCGGTTTTGAATATTTATTTTTTTATTCATTTTAAATATGTCTCAATTTCATATAAAAGATCATATTCACATGTATGACTTTGCAATGGGGTTTTAATCTGGCCTTCAAAGCTGTTTGTTTATATTTATTGAAATCCGTATAACAATTTAACTAGCTGTACCGTCCACATTCCATGAAACTGGTCAGGTTAATTTATAATTTACTGAAATCCTTGTTTGACTAATATATTTACTGTTGTTTACCGTCCATGCTAATCCATCCCACCGAATCATGTCGTTACATTTTACATCGGTCAGTTTTGTTTTTATCATAGATATATACATTTTATTTTTTTGTGAAGATGGAAGAATACATTTGCTGCAGTACATGTATATCCAAATATGATGTTAGTCGAAAATGATTATATTTTCTTTGCCTCTATGGTTAAGGTATGTTAACATATTGAACTCTCAAAGTTAATTGAAGCAAAATGTATTTCTCGTTACTATAAGAATCCAGCTCTATGAATAATGATAGGAGATATCCATAAAAGAAAATTCATGTACGAATTTGACGAAAGCTCATTTACAGCTATGAATTTAATTCTTAGATTTGAATCTTTAAACATGTCATTGATAATTCTTAGACTAGATATGCATCAAAATCCGATTGTTTAAGTTGACATAGAAATGTACATTTCATAATTTCCACCGTCTTATGTCATCCATTTTCATAGAATTGACTACTTTAGTTTGTTTTTGCGTGTTCATTTCCATTTATCATTACACTTCATGACATCATAAACTGCAACATCAGGTTTGCCGTCCAGGCCCTTTGTTGGGCTACAGTTTGTCTCCTATGTTCCTTGTGTTAATGTTTTTATTTATTTTGTAAACAGACTGAGCACATCATTATGATGTGTTATATTGTATGATTACCTCATACGACATATGATGACCTCATACGACCAGTTATTATGACTTATGAATAAATTTCATATATGAACTTTTAAATAAATGTTTTGTTCTTTTATGCCACAAATATGGGTAAGGTGACAGTACCCAAAATGGATCACCAAACTATCATTTTCTTCATTCAATGAAAATGCAGCGAATGAATTATACACAGTATTAGTCGATGGTTGTATCAAAAGAAGAATATCGATGGGTGTTCTGACCAACGAAATAAACATCCAGGGCTCATGTGATATATTTATAAGAAACTCTTACGTACAACGTAAACAAGAAACTACATTTTGAGTTTGAAATACGTCTTCTGATGCTATTTGAACTTACAAATGAATCATCTCTAGACTAAAAATGATGCATTACTATGTATTAAAAGGATAAATTATTATAATAACTTAACTGTTGATTTGCAAAGAGTGATTCGATTTGGGTACTGATCCGATTTGGGTCCTACCTCCTTTTAAGAAAATTTTGTCTTCAAACAGTTGAACTGTTAAAAAAACCCATGTTGGAATAAACATGTAGCATAAGTTATGATGCTGACAAACATATTACAATTTTCGACCTAATATCGGTATGACAAAGGTATTAGCGTTAGGCAAGAGTATGTATTGTAAGTGTGTACTTGCCATGCTGGGGAAACAACAGTAAAGAGGACTTCCATGTAGCTCTCTCAGAAATGGAGGAAATTATCTGTAAATTTGGGGATCATGCACTACTCATTTGTGGTGACTTTAATGCTTCACTAACGAGAGAACCTCCAAACGAAAGAGATAAGATGCTAAGAATATTTGTATTCAACCACCAACTCGTATGTCAGCAGACAGGAAAACCAACATTCTTTCATGCCAGTAATGACTCCTCTGCGGAAATTGACTATGTACTTAAAAATCATCTTGCAGTCCGCATATCTGACACTGTCACAGTAGAGGGAACACACCCTGATAATGTATCAGACCATATAGCTCTATCTACCAAGCTTAATATAAATTACAGACTCGGAGGAGAAACTAGCTACTTTGAACCAAAACCTAACTGGAACAAATACAATAAGCAAATATACAAAGAAACTATACAAAGAGATCTTGAAGAGAAATAGGATTTCACAAATAAAACTGATGCTGAAACAGCCATAATATCCCTGAAGCAAACCCTGGATTATGCGACTAAGATCAGCTTCCCAGGATTCCAACCAAACCAGCCAAAGAAAAAGAAAAACATGCAGCCCTGAGATACAGTCAGCGTCCAAACTCAGTAAACAAGCCTGGTGGAAATGGAAAGTTGGAGGTTGAAACACCCCCTCAAATGTAACATGGTTACAGCCAAGAGAAACCTACGACGAGCACAACGAAAGGTATCCACAGAGAAACACCTCTAAGATCTGAGAAACATCATGGATGCAAAAGGCACCGACGATAGGATGTTTTACAAACTAAACCGCAAACAAAGATCCACTGGTAGTAATAAAACTAACTGCCTCATTGTAAATGACAAAACACTAACAACCAGTAAGACTATAACAGATGGCTGGGCTGATCACTTCCAATCTCTAGCTACACCAAAAGATGAAGGTAAATACGATGATGACCACCTACATCAGGCAAAAACGAATGTCGCACAGATTGATGAGTATATCTCCATCTGGACTGAAAATATACAATCTGTTCTACTAGAAGGAGTTGGGAATGCCATAAACAAAGCTCAAAGACAACAAAGCGCCAGATGCATTTGGATTGACCACAGAACACCTAAAATATGGAGGTCAACCTCTCCTATTCGCATTAACCAACATATTGAACCAGATTCTACATTCAAGAACAGTTCCTAGAGTCCTGAAGAAAGGAGTGATCACATCTGTCTTTAAGAAAGGGGATAGACAAATCCCAGGAAACTATAGAGGAATAACGGTCACACCAGTAATACTTAATGTCTTGGACCATATCCTCAATGAAAGGCACAAACCACTACTTCTTCCTACTCAATCGCAACTGCAAAGTAGATTTACTAAAGGGACATCCTCACTGAAATCAGCTCTTCTCATCACGGAATGTCAACTGGAATCTAAATCTGAAAAGAAGCCTCTCCTATTCACAACTCTGGACAAAAAGAAGGCATTTGATGTAGTTGATGACCAACTCCTCCTACAAAACCTTTACATGGATGGTATACCACTGCCAGAGTGGCAACTTTTGAATGATATATACACAGACATGACATCCACTGTAAAATGGGAGGGCCACATGTCCAACGAAATTGAAATTAAGCAGGGAGTCCGGCAAGGTGGTATTCTCTCCACTGAACACTACAAAAGATACACCAACCCTCTCTTACTGCAGATAGAGGAAAATTAAATGGTGCAAGAATTGGTAACATCAGGATCCCGCATACCACATGTGCTGATGACCTTGCCCTCTTATCTCACTCTACCAAAGAGATGGAACTAATGCTGAAAACAGTAGAGAACTTTAGCAGGACCAACAGATATGACATCAACCCAACTAAGAGTGCCTGCATCATATACAACAAACCCACAACTGCTGATACCCCAAATTACATCCTTGAGGGAGAGGAAATTCCAACCCCACAATCTACAGTACATCTATGAATAAATAGTAACAAGAAAGGATCTATTGCCACTGATGGAAGACTCTCATGTGGAAGGAAGACTGCCTACTCGCTACCAGGAGCAGGATTACACGGGAAAACAGGATTACGTCAAGACATTAAAGGTCACATCTGGACGACATTTGTAGTATCAAAAAAGGGATGTGGCTTTGAAACACCCTACTACACACATGTAGATGTTAATAAACTTGAAAACTTCCAAACTAAAGCTTTAAAACAGATACAACATCTCCCTGATAGAACAGCTACATCAGCAGCAACTGGACTACTCAGAATCTTACCTTCTATGCTCATATCCACAAAAACACTCTGAACCTACTATACAACATTCTGCAAAATCCAGAGTCTATGGAATTCCGGATTGCCGAACGACAACTTGCAACAAAGAACATACAGGAAAAGAGCTTCTTCTCAAACGTGAGACGAATACTTATGACCTCATGAATGATCTACCGGAGAAGACAACATGGAAAACCCAGCTAAGGAACGCAATACATTCCTACGTTTAAGAACAGTGGAAATGTGATATCAAACAGAAAAACAGCCTTCAATACCTCAACCCGGAAGCAATCAAAGTTGCCTCAGCCCATAAACATTACACAACAGTTAGAGGAAATAACATTGGTGTACAGCACGCTGAGATAAAAGCTAAATTGCTCACTGGAACATACACACTGCAGTCGAATAGAGCTGTCTTCAACCAACATGCTGTTGATCCGACCTGTAAAATCTGTGAGGCAGAACCATTCCTCATACAAAACCTCAGAGAGACGTACATGTTGTATATAAGGCAAAACTGAGCAACATTATCGCAAGATATACTATCAACTCCAGTGATGAGCTATTAAGTGATCAAGGAATTTTTACCCAGATTATACTTGACTGTTCAGCTATCCGGTTTGGAACTCAATCTTTTTCTCATGATGACATAGAAAAGATTGAGTTGTTATCCAGACAGTTCATCTGGAAGATACACTGTACAAGGAGTAGAGGGTTGGCAAACAGGCAACCTGTGAATACACCGTTTTTTCTAAACTAATTTTTTCTTTTTGCAATCTATGTGCCACCTGACATTTTAAGACTACCAAGTGTAATATTTGAATCACGTGACTTTGATTCGGAAGTGCCTCCAACTTATACCAGTGATTAGTGTAATCACTGGGTGTCCGCAAACCAATCGGATGAATCTACCAAAGACTGAACAGATGGCTGACGATAATAAGAAAACGTTTCAAGAATAAAACAAAATGGATGAAACATGGGAAATGGCAACTTACTTACCTTATATTTGGTGAAGTGGCCATGCGATCTTATTACTGCCAACAGACGACGGGGGATTGAATTATACGGGTGCCTAAATGTATTCAGATTAAAAAGAAGTCCAGATGTTCGAACTCTTGACAAAACGTTCGTCCACGGCCCTGATATTGTGAGCCTGATTTCAAATTGTTCGTTTGATTCGCAACCATACATTTTCGATTATATGTATAACGGGAGACTGAGCTGGCCATGTGAAGGTAGGAATGTAGAAATGCCGAGAAAAAACGGACCGAAGCTGGTCGTACAATATATCAATATATTTTTTTATCATTAATATTACCTTGAACCATGCACCCAACTCCGTGATACTTAGTAAATGTGACATTCCTCCACCATACCAGAAACACGTCGCTGCCGGGGATGACACATATACTAGGGTAAAAACGATTCATGGGCCGTTCTCCATACATGAAAGCAATTATTATCGCCATTGACCAGCTGACATCAGAAAATATTACAGTTTTCCGATACTGGTCTACGGAAAGTCGTCTTTTCTCCAAACAACATGCTAAACGTTTTTTCCTGTTGATTTCGGATACCACCATATTCCTTCTAACTACTCGACGTTTCATGTTATTTTTGTGTGAAAATCTTTGAATAGTTCGTGGGTGGACAACTGTATCTTGGTTCTGTCTGTCGTTAAAACACTGGTTATGTCTCTCAAAACCATTCCTCTATCAACTTTTGTACACCGAAACAATCACGTTTTACCCCGCTGTTACAACTTACTGGACCGGACCCTTCGCCGACTTTTTTTCATGTTTAAATGATCTAAATACCTTTTCCAAATGAATCTTGACGTCGATTTTGGTATGTTGTGTAATTTTCCAGTTCGCAGGTTGTATTGCCTTCAGTTTATAGATCATTAAAAATATTTTATATGATCAGAGATTTCCGAAGATTTCCTCCCCATTTTGATGACTCAGTTTGTTTAACATGGATCACTACCAAATGACGTCACTACACGTCATAAGAAGCTTCCGGAGAAACCGCAACAGAAGAAAATGAGTCTTCAACGAGTAACATTTCTTAGACCGCACCACGTCAATTAAGATGAGGTCGTCGTTTTGCGAAAATTTGCTGTACTAAGTCAGATGGTG